AGATTATCACCATAAACAGTGCTTTTGAAATAACCCCATAGCCTAAAGTCACAGAGGTTGAGGTCTGGTGGGAAGAGGGGAAGTGTCAGCCTATAAGACGTTCATTCGTGAAATGTAGCCTAAGTAAGTGTGCGACACATGTGAGGTGGGGCCCACATATTATCTAAAATGCCACGTTACTGCAGTTCATGTATCATGAAACATTTTAACATTGATTCTAAGCGAGCTGCAATCACAGTGGTCCAGCTGTCGACTGCTCTTTTGAGAAAAATGGTTGTTATGAAACTAGCTGTCATTCCACACGAAATGGTGTAGAATGACTGCTATGCAGTCAAATGCAGTAGGAGAATGCAATGGAACTAGGTAGGTAACATAAGGGATTTCTTTGGCCCAAATTGATTAAAAGCGTTTTGAATCAGTATCTTCATGTTTTAGGGCCGAATTCAGGCTTAAAAAATTACAAATTAGTGATCTGTAAGAAAACGATTTCCAGATTGTATGCACTTGTGCAAGTGATTTGCAATCTCACATTTTCTAATCACTAATTCGTGGTTTTCACGGACAACTTTCTCCCTACACGGATGGCACATTCGAATTTTATCGAATTGAACGCCTTTAAATGGTAATTTGCTTACTTCAAAGTTTCTTAAGAGTATACAATATATTAAACCCATGTAACAAAAGGTTAAGTTAGATTCCAACCCATATTTCGCTTAACAATATTACATACAGCGCAATTTCCTCCCCTGGTGGTGAGGTTTCGAACTTTCTTTTTTTCGCGGAAAATAAATTCCCATGACCTCCTTTACACGGTTACCAAGTTTGATAACATTTGATCCAGTAGTTTTCCTTTTATGACCGTTAACTTTGAAATGGTCATTATAACCACCCTTTATATTATTAAATTTTAATTTGAAGCTATGCGTTATGTGTATAAAATGCGTAAGATTTTCACTTTTATGGAAAAACTAAAGAATCGAAGCAAGTATACTTAGGATAATGGACCAAAACTGAAAAAATTTTCCCTCCCTCCGAAAATAAAATATTGAAACTTCGACCTTGAATTTATTGGATTATCGAAATATTCAATTTGACTTATCTTTTAAGTCCTAGTTCCGACAACAATTCTGTCAAAAATTCCGAATTACTGAAGTTGAAGTAAAAGGTTTAGTATATATTCACTGTATGTTAATAAAGTAATCAGAGTGTAATAAAAATAGATTATAGAATTTACACTGATGCAACTTTTTGTCTGAACGCACAACATGTAATGGAAGAGAAGGTTTGTAGAGAACTGTTTTTGACATGCCTCTAAAAGTAGATGTCATACTCCTTTTGTCTCTTCAATGTCAAAAAACTTTCCTTTGAGAGGCAACTTTAGTTTTGGGGAAAGGGAAATTGACAAAACGACAAATCTGAAGAACATGCAGAACGATTGAGTACACATACTTATTTTCGGAACACAAGCGGTTCTCCGATTGGTTATTGAATAATGAAAAAATGCAATGTCATGCAATACAAAACATTTGGAATACGTTTTCTGACTGAATAATGTAAGATTAAAAGTCATCTGCTTAATTCAAAGCCATTTACAAGTCAACTACTCGGCATATGCAGAATCGTTTTGATCCTGAGCTTGTAAGACAAACCTAATATCACTGGATTTAAATACTTCTTTAATCTTCCGAGAACATTCCATCTTTAGCTCATATTCCAATAATATTAAGTGAATACGCAAAAGAAATTGAATATTCATTTGCACTACGGCTTGGTAGTTTACTAACGAGTTAACAAAACTTAAATTCTGCTTTTTGTGTCTAAAAATACAACAGTATTTTACATATTTACAAATAAAATATTAAATTGGAGATTTAATTGGACCCTCACCAGTTGCCTAGCATTTGAAGATAGCTAAATACTAATTGTTTGTTGCAAAGTCTAACCCAGGCTGCATGGTTAGTTTTCGTAGTTTTCTAGGTTCTCTTTACGAAGGTTCTCTATGAAAGCATCTTAACCAAATAGCTCCCATGTTCTTTCTATGTTCAAACAACCAACTAACCTAGTTTAAGTGCGATTTCCAAGTGAAGTTACTAGCAAAACCTGAATACTCATTAAAAATCATGTAGCTTGCCAATCGGGAGTAACATGAAAGATACAGCGCCAATAATTGAATTGCTGTTACGGTACGCTGTTTCTAAACTTAGATGATCATTCCTTAACTAAATATAATTGATTTGTAACTTCTGCTAGAGCTGACGGTAAGAATTGAAATGCAAATAAATAATATCGTGTGCAATCTTGATTAATATAAAATTAGAAATATTTGCATAGGAAAAGACAGAAAGTTTTTTGAAATATTTGCAATTACTTTATAAGAAGGATTTATTAATAACCGTAATAATTATTTATTATATTACTGATGATTAGAATTCGGTTCTTGACAATAGCATTCTAAATTAAAATTTTAAGGATATAATGAAAATACGCTACGTATAAAAATACATTTTAGGATAAAAAATGAGTTGATTTTTTATGTTTAAAAACTTCTTAAAATTATTTAATAAACATTGTACCTCTTTGTTAATTGATTGCAGAATGTTGGGTGTTGTTTATATACTAATTATTCTTACTTGTGCACAGAACCTGCTGACTTATCTAGCCATTAAGTAGCTGCAGATCATTTCTACATAACCATTGAACTTTCATTAATTCAGTCTCTAGAGGGTTGTATGTTTATATCATAATTTGACTTTTATAAAAATGATTATTCTAAATATTATATTTCTATAAAAATATACTGTGCTTTAAAAATATGGATGATAGTATCAGCTGCTCTTTCAGCCACTTTATAAGCAACAACTTGTTTAGAAATAAATTGTGCAGTTAAAGTCATAAAATATTTTCATAAAATTCAAATAAACATCAAACGAAAGTTCTCAATTTTAGATAATTCGATTTAAACGAAGTTACAGTAAAGTAGCAGACGATAAAATGCCATATTTATTTGAGTTACTGAATCTTTATCCTTTATGATGGAAGATTTTTATCTGATCCAGGATATTAACAAAGTTGTTAGAGATTAAAAAGTCTTGTGGTAATATTTCAAAATCTTTTATAACATCTTGATCTGATATAATTATGCTAATCGAACAGGGGCTTGTGTCTATAGTATGCCCAGTCGACATAGTGCAATCTAATTTCTTATCATATTTATAAAATAGATATATACTTGATAATACATATTTAATTTATTTATTTTTAATTTGTTAAAGTCTTTGCTAATTATCTTATTTATATAGTCTATAGATTTAATTTATTGAGATAATTATTTAAAGAGCTATAACTGGAGATGAGTAATAAAATATCAATTAATTTTTACTGTTATTTCTTTATCAAAAATTTTAAGGTTTGCAACTTATTATTTAAAGCCTTAAATAAAATTATATTACTTTGTATAGGGTTTAGTTGTAAGTTGCTTACTATCTTAAAAATTAACACACGTAAGATGTAATTTTTTCTTATAAAATAGTAAGATATCAAAATATTGTTTATTTAATAATTTCTGCTTTATATTAAAACATGCATTTTTATAGTTTTAACAGGAGTTTAGACAACAATGGGATTCTATAAATTTAAAATAATAAAAATATTGGAAAAATATTAAATACTTTAAATGTAATTAACAAATTAAAATGAAATTTATATGGGGAGGAAAGAAAATTCTTTTCTACAATTCTATTACAAAATTTTATGCAATTAAAAATAATTCCACTATATTTTAAAGTTCAAATGTTAACACTGACGGGTAAAGTATAAGTTTACTATAATGATGGATTTCTATGAATTTGAGCTTTTAAAGACAATATTTATATACTGCAAAATTAATTATTTTAATATTATGAGAAAAGACTTACATATTTAGAAAGAGGAATTTTTCATTATGAAACAATTTTTAAATTATGATATTAATTTTACATACTTTTTAAATATTATTAACTGAAGTCAGACATCTTTTCATTGAAGAGACAAAGTATTGCAAAAGAGCATCCAACTGTCAATCCTGCAAAATTCCAAATTTGTTTGAGTAATAACTTTAAGTTGTTGGTTAAATCCTTTTAAGACTTCTATCAACAGACTGATTACTTTAAGAGCTTTCAGAAAAAATAAATTTCAATATCTAAAAACCTTTTTTTATGCAAATTAAAAAATGAATTGATATTAAGTTCTAATCATGAAGAGTGGAAAAAATGCGTCTTCAGCCGTTCAAAGACTTTAATGGTGGGAACTTAATCTGTAGAATCTCTTTTCTAAAAATTTTGTTAGTACCTGTCTGTATTTTTGTTTTTTATTTATTTTTAATAATATGAAATACATAATGACGCCCTAGTACAGGGGTGACTAAGTTATTTCTTTCACTGATTGACTTTTTACAAAAAAAAAAAAAAAAAAAAAAAAAAAAAAAAAAAAAAAAAAAATAGTTGCATGTTACCTATGAAATTGAAATTCAACATTTTTCAATCATCAGATGATAAGAATGTGGAGAAGGAAGTGAAGTATGTAACAATATTAAATCATATTATTAATAATGAAACCAGTCTTATACTGTTGTAATAGGATGTCCATCTTTAAAACATATTACCATCTAATCAATCACAAATAACCTTTTCGCCATATCTGACCTAGAACATTAATTGACAAGTTTTTATTTTAAGTATTATCATAATAATTTTGGCTTCAGTATTGATTGCAAGAATTCATTTTTATGTATGCTTCTATTGCAAAACATATATGGAAGCAAATAATATTGAATTCTGTGCTATAAATTAATATAATTTCAAAATATTAAAAAAGATGTAAAAAGCATGCATTGTAGCATAATTAAAGTAAAATAGCTGTTTAGATTTATATTGGTCATGCTTTAAATTCATATATAGGTTCAAGTACCTTTTACCACTTTCATTGATTTTTTTTTTTTTTTTTTTTTTTTTAATTGTTTGAAGGTTACGCCTAATGTGAGAGGAGATGAAGCTGTGAACTTATTAAAGAAATTTTATCGTGGTGAAAATCCCAATGGTAAGTATTTTACATTGCATTTCATGTAAATTATTTTTAATTAAATTTTGTGTATTAGAAAATTTTTTGTATCATATTTAAATTAATAATTGATTAATTAAAATGAAGAAATCTTATTTTAATGATATGATGACAATGTTTCCATTCTAATTTACTTTTTATTAGGAAATATTAAAAATTGTGCTTAATTTTATTGAATCATGTGAGTTCTATTTATTGGTCTTGGGACTTAATCCATCAAATAGTTATTTAGCATGTATTTACTGGATTTCCACACATATTTTCTCCCCTAGCATTAGGTTCTGAAAATTAAAAAAAAATTCCCATATTCCCCTTCTTCTGAGGTATATAATTTTACTTTCTGAGGACTAATTTAATGGTAAATTGTGTTCCATTGGTTATTTTTATTCATTGTATTCAATTTATGTCTGCATTCTTGTATTAGCATTTTATCTTGCCTTGAATTTATTATTTGAAACATATTTTGTCCAGATTCTTTGTTAAGCTACTCAGACATGGCAAATGTTCTCACACTTAAAAAAACTTTTGAAATATGTAATTTCACCTTACTTCTGTTATTTACATTCTAGCTCACTGTACTCTTATCTACCGCTGATGTGTTCGATCTTTTTAGGATTGAGAATTCATAGTTAGAAGGAGGTGTTCCTTTTGATATGCATCTACTATGAACACAGTGTACCACCAATTTTCAGAACCATGCAAAAAGAAAATACTTGTGTTACATAGCAAAATTTAAATGAAAAGTTTGAAAATTAATAGAAGTTAATGGTTTCAAATCTGCCCATAGATAGTTTGGTGTTCAACTTTGATTCAGTCCTGAAGAAAACATAAAGATGCATTGAGGAAGACAAATTCAGAGCAGAGAGCATTTGGGGGACCGAAAGCTAGAAACTCTCCAGAAATTGAATTTCTGAATTACATGATAAAGTAAAGAAATAAGGGCACCACATGAATTGATATTAAGGAAACCAGGAGATTAAGGAAAAAATTGTTGTAATACAGTCCAATAATTTAAAGTGAATCAATCATTTGATGAGAAGAAATGGACCTACTTTAAAGAAACTTCTGTTTTCAAATCCCTTCTTCCTCCACCAGATGTATGTATATTTTTCTGCCTTAGTTCTTCTAAAAATGGGTTAGGCTGTAAACTGACTACTGGTCCACAAATCTTCGAGAATTCCAATGAGATTAGTCTTCTAGAAAAATCACCTTTTAGGTCTCCTATGTTCACCTCATAGCATTTGTGAATTTCTCTCTTTGTTGTTACTCCTCCAAAAAGTGCATGAATTAAAGATTCATATCCACTTGTATGGCATCCTATGTCTATAGCAGAGTCTTTTAACATGTATGAACATTGTGATCCTGGTCGTTATATGCCCTTATTGTCTTCTGCTTTCTGGTTACGTTGATATTAATTAATAGTGCTTGAAGAAACAACTTCATCCACGAAAAACTGGTGCTCGCAGGTGATATGTTTTGTGTTTTTGCTTCTTTATTCTTTTCAGCATCATTGCACTTTTGATTGGTATGCCAAATTTGGACACATGAAGCCCCCAATGTCTTTTTGAGCATATCAGACATCATACATTTTTCTTGCATTGCTTGGCTCTATGCCCAGTTTTGAAGCAGAAGAAGTAACCCTTCCTCTTCTTAATTTCATCATTCTCTTGACTCGGAGTCATATTCTGAGCAACAAAGCAGTCTCAACTATCATAATTTTTCTCACAAAATATGCAAGAATTCTTTTCACTGTAATTGGTTGTTTTATTTTTGTCTGAGATAAATCATTTGCTGAGGCACAAAATGTTCACCCTTGTACCTTTTATCTCTTCTACTTTTTTTTTTGCACCTCAATCGATCAATTTAAATCCAACTATCACTAAAGAAATTCTGCGTTGTTCTTCCTCTTCATTCTTTAAAAACAACAATGATTGTTTCAATTCTTCAGAATGTGAATTTTCTGTTGTAATTATTGATGCGTGATTTCTAAGCCAAACTCATTAAATTTCTTCGGGAATGCAGGATTCAACAAGCAGAAACAGCATTGAAGTTTATATGTCACTTATTAATCCTGTTGACTCAACGAACATAAAATACGACTTAACTTGTCATACAATTCTGATATACTGCATTTTCCCGTTTGATCAGTAACATTTTAATAATCAGACCTAATATTTCTCGAATATAGAATTCCACAAACAATTCTTCTCTGTCAAACTTATTTCTTAAGCTTTCTGTAACCTTTCCATAATTTTCTGCAGTTGCAAGAAAGCTGTTCACAGTATCTGATGATCTCATAACAGGTACAGTCACTTGAACAAGATAATGCATCTTTTATCGATTTGAATTTCCTTATCCTCGTGTACTCGCTGGAATTGTCTCCAAAAACGTAACCAATCTTTGGTGTCGCCACTAAATTGTTTTAACTTTATTTTAGGTAATTTTGGTTTCTGTTTATTCAAATTTGGTGGCACAGTGCCAATGGATAGTGTCATTTGACGAAGGAAAAATAATTCCATTTCCACTCATATTAAATCTAACTTTATGTTGTCTAATGTCTTTCTGCTCTTCAATTTTTGCCCATGTACTTTCAAACTGATCATTTGAAGAAAATTCTATGTGAGTATTAAATGTACTAAAGCTGAACAAATAAACGTTCTATAGTAACAAGTTTCGTTTTCATAGATTTTTCATCAAGAATTTCCTTTTCTAGTTCCTATAAAATTGCATTAATTATTTTCTTAAAAGACACTGTGATAGGTTTTCTTTTCTCAATTAACAATTCCATTTCAATAAAAGCAAATTCAATAAAATCAAATAAAAATAAATTCAATAAAATTCTGACCTTGATTTCTTTTACTGATCATGTGTCAGCAATTGTTCACGGATTTGCAAGAACTAATCGTTCTCCTTTCTACTAATAAATTCAAAATTATTTTACATCTTATATTGAAAAGCATCATGTTTATTTTCAAAATCTGTACAACAATAATAAATTAGAACAAAGATCAGAGAGTTCCCATTCTTACAATTTCAAGCTATGAATAACATTTGAGACTTGGTTCTAATAGTTATTAGTCATTTTTGGACAAAAAGGGGAAATCACCAAATTAACCAGTTAACTGTGGCGTCCTTGTTTAAGAAAGCGCACTGTTTTGTGTCACCAGAATCGAGCCATGACGAGTATATTTGCCAGTCACAGAGTAAGTTGCTCTGGTAAGATATTGGATGAAAAAGATGGATTTATTTTATACAATTGAAAATTTTATTACTAATATTTACTTATTTGGTTAACATAAGCATATATTACAAATATATTAAAGTAAAAATACAATAAATTAAATTTATTATACATATAAAAGTAAGAATTTAAATTCCTGCTGTGGAGTGATATTCAGCGAAACAGGAACATATACACAATGGGACTTTGCAAATCGAACACCAGTAATGCGATTCCTTCCTGATCTTACGTTTGTAGCAATGTGAACACCTTCGCGTAGGGTTGTTTTTTTTCGATGTTACTGGTATATAATCCAGAACATGATTCCCGCCTAATTGGCTTATATTAGGTCTAAATGGCCGAGTTTGTGCCGATTTATTTCTTTCGGTTGGATACGTTTTATTCAATAAATTTGAGAAAAAAGTTGATATGCAATAATGTTCCATTATTTTTTTTTATATAATATGAATGCATTCAGACACATAATGTCTAGAAAATGGAGAAATATCTTTTTGAGTCGTTTTCTTGTTGTGGAGTACGCTATGATAATTCCATCGCTCATATCCGCTCCACCCATTTTTTTATTATAATCAATAACTAGCTCCAGTTTCTTTGCTATTATTTTTTTCCTTTGTTTCTATTACATTGCTTTATACGCGCATTGCTTACACTGCTTTATACGCATGACGAGTAAACTCGTCAATACACAAAATCGTGCCGCTTCTCCATGACAAGTATACTCCTCAATCACATTTAACTGGTTAAAATGAAGAATAAAATTGCTACCTAGGTATGAGATCTTCAAGTACATTTATAAAGAAGTTGTTTTACTATTCTTACTAATGTATAACAGTGTCACCGTTATACTTCATTTGATCAGTCTGATTTTTAAATAATTGTTGAAATGATAAAAAACTTGAAAAGTAACTCCTGTGAGGGAAATACATGGAATATTCTCTAAAGGAATCACTGGTCTTTATTTTTACACTAGTATATTTTGTATGAAGTTTTATATTTTTGTCATTTACCTTGAGTGCAATGAACAATAAAAATAATGGTGCAGCCTTTGTTTTTTAGAGATAGTAGTGTTGGTAAAAGTAACTAAACTTCTACCTATACACATAAGAAATAGATAAATTAAGGTTCTTAATAACTTCTGTCAAACATTTGATCTGTACTGTATCATGGCAACATGGTTGATAGAATTTTTCTAAACCTAAGTTTTTTTCTTTTCTTGGTTATTTCAATAAAGAAATAAAATAAAGGACTGTCTTTAAAAACTCTATACTGGCAATACTTGTAATAATTGCAATAATTGAAAACAAGAACACTGTTATAAGAAAAAAAGAAAATTACAGTTAATTAAAAGGTGTTCAATAGGCAAAAATGCCAGCTAAAATCTGTTCAAATAGGTTTTGTTTTCATTATGGCATATCCATAAGAATTTGCATAAATATATACAGCTAACCAGAAGTATCATGTTGGTATATTTACTTTTTACTAAAAACTATTTAGTATTTTTTGTCTCATAACAGAAAAAGGCCCTAAATAAGATGTAAGAAATTACTTATAACAGAAAAAAGTCCTAAATAAGTTTTAAGAAATTACTTAATCATGAACTTTAATGATGTAAATCCAGTCATGGAATGATACCATGCATTTAGATTTCATTACCCTCGGCTACCTGAAATTTTTTTTCGCTTGTTTGTTTATGAAGCTGTATATTTTCAACTTTCTGCATTTGTAATTCAGTATTTCTAATTTATTTCTTCCAAGCTCCATTTCCAAAAGTGAAGAAAAAAAAAAAAGAAGTAGCATAGTCTGAATTGCCAACCCTTGAACCTCTTATATATGTAGTATGTATGTTTAGTAGAATGTTGATATTTTTTAAATAAACTAATTTGTTATTAATTAGAAATCAATTTTCTTTCATTGTCTGATTTAAATCCTATCTTATTTATTTATCTTTACATTATATTAATATTATTAAAAACTGTGCACGTCTGTGTGTTTGTAACATCATCTTCCCCAAAATGGCAGGGAGTTTCAGGAGAGGTACCCTTGGGATCATTCTCATCTTCATACAGCTTTAACCCTTTCGCGCCGACTGTCACGTCTACGTGCTAGCGACGAACACACTTACCTCCCTGCCGACACGCAGGCGTGACAGAGCATTTTTCCGTTTACTACCGACTGTCACGTATTTGTGCCAGTGTCCTGGAACATTTTTCAAACTATAATTTCTGCCACAAGATGGCACTGTATGTCCATATGGTTTCAGGTACATGTACATTAGACCTTCTACTTGAAATGAGAGAAGCATGACTCACATACACGTGTTTTTGATTATATAAACAAACGGGGAACTGAATGTTTCCGAATGGCGTGATTTATTACGTCTCTTTAAATCGCACTTTATTCGCATGTGGTAGTTGTTTATTGTAAGTAGAAGTTTTATATGTGCTAAAGCGTTGATAATTTCGGTTTGCAGTTCAATTTGTAGAAAATAATTAGATCTTGTTAGACGTGAATTCTTTCTGTTTTTACCATTGCAATGTTAAAGCGCATGAAATAGCAGAAATGATGCAAAATATTTCAGATATTGATTCTGAAATTCTGATATTGATTCTGAAAGGTTAACTGAAAGACATTTTCCAAAACTTTGTTCAGAAGAGACTGATAAGAAAATGAGACGACGATGCTTCGTTTGTTCACATTCCCGGAAAAATCCTCCAAAACGGCAAATGAGTTATTACGAGTGCAAGGAATGTAACGTAGGACTGTGTGTAGATCCCTGTTTTCAAATTTTTCATACGAAAAGAGATTTTAAGTACTATATTTAGTTTTCAGATGTATAATGTTAAAAGTCATAAAATGGTGAGTAATTAAAATAAAATGTGTAAAATATGCATTTAAACCAGAAATAAGGTAATTAAAGTATATATATATAAATATTTATAAAGCATAAGCCATTTAAATACTCTATAGAGCATTATTAAACAATGCGTTGATATTTCGGAAATTTCATGGATTTAGGCTTAGTAGCAAAAAAGCTTCCGGCCCTGGAGAGACGCTCACGTAAGACACTGCCGGCCTCCGCGATAAGCGCGCGTTTTCGCTACCCGGCTCGAAGGGGTTAACCGAGCCAAGATATTAAAAATTCAGAAAACATTAATTTCCGCACGCTGCAAGTTACTTTTTTGGCTGAACTTTATTGCTATTCAACGTGCTGCATCGAATTGCGTACAAGGTGGAATTTTCAAATTGTTATCCGTCTTTTCTAAATAAAGGGGAAGTAAAATTTTTTATGATAATAATAATAATGCAATCATATGCCTCATATATTATTATTAAAATATCATTCATATTGAAATATTTTTGCACATTTTCTTTTTAGGTGTACATACACTGAAGAGCCAAAACATTATGACCATATATTCAATAACGCATTGCATGAACTTTGGCATGCAAACAGTTGCAGCTTGCCTTGGCATGGATGCCACAAGCTCTTGGTAGATCACTGGAGATGGTTGTAGCAAATGTCTAAGCAGCAGTCACGCTTCTTAGGTGGCCGCAGGCCGCAAAACACGGGTTCCTGGGCTGGAGCCCTATCCCAGGCTAACAAGATATGTGATAAATGTAGCATGAAAACATAACGTATAAATAATGTAATAATGTATAAAGCTCTGAGCTGCTGCTCCATGACATTCCAAATGTGTTCTATCGGGGTACAATCTGGCGAATTAGGCAGACCGGACATTAATTGGAATTCATTTTTATGTCCCTCAAAAACATGCCTTGTGACATGGGGTGTTATTCTGTTGGAAGATTCCATTTCCAGTTGGGAAGATAGATGCCATGTAAGGGTGCAATTGATTTTCAGTTACACTACCCGATATTGAAAATGCAATACCAATAAGGAGTGGCCCAGAAATTGTGCATATTTAAGGTAAACGCATGTCACCGAGTTATGCGAATGTTGTGAAATGTGCAGCTGTATAGCGCACGTTGAAGAAGATATAAGGGAAGGAATATACAAAATGTTCAATTTTCTTGCCGTTATTTCTGCTAGGGAAATCATCATAGAAAATTTGTTCTTGTCTCAGAGGACGTATATAATAGCAGAAAATGCCAGGCCGTCGTCAACGGAGGCAGTTCCAGCAGACAGGCGGTTTTACAAAGGGCATGGTGATCGTACCGAGAAGAGCAGGTTGGTCCACACGGCAAATCTCAGCAGACACACACCTAGACGCATCCACAGTGCACCAGCTGTGGCGATGATGTTTGGAACAAGGAGAGGTGGGAAGTTCATGAAGTGCCGATGCAGTTCATGAAGTGCCGATGTGGAGAAAGGTCCAGTCCGGCAGCTATTGTGAAACCTCCCACCGTGCTACAACGCGGCATCATAGTGACGTCAGCAGGCATGGATCAATGCATCCGCCGACAAGTGGAGGCGCACAGGCTAGCCACCTCTACCTTCATTATGCAGCATGTTCAAGACACCCTGGATGTTCCCGTATCGACCAGAACCATTTGTCATCGATTGGTGGATGGTGGCTTGCGCTCATGACGTCTGTTAAGAAGGCTGCCATGAACCCCACATCATAGACACCAGTGTCTGCAATAGTGCTGGGCTCGAGCGATGTGGATGATGTAATAGCTCTCACTAATAAAGGGTCGTGTTCTTAGATGAGTCACGGTTTTGTTTCTGTGAAAAGAATATTTTCACGATCTTAAAGAACCTCCCATCCTCCATTAAAGAAGAAGCAGTCCATAGTGATTTACTTCACAGTAAGTTTGCAATTATTAAGATAAAACAATTTACCAGTACAAGAAAATGAGTGCAGGAAATATTGCCAATCTTTTTCCTAGAGCTGAAACGGAACTCAGATGGTAATCAGATATTTCACCTAAGTGATATGTTCAGCTTTGATGTTTGTGTTGAAAAATATAACCCCAGGAAGAGGCCAGCGCAATGTTTCCGTTGTCAGGCCTACAGGCATATGCAGAACCTGTGCAACAACGTGTGTAAAATGCGGGAGGCCCTTGTCACAGCTATGTGTCATAAGATTCCAGATGAAAAGCCTCACTGTATCTTCTGTCAGTAGCTACCGTGAGTGCGAGGCCTACAAAGCAAAGTTTGAGCAGAGGAATCAACAGAAAGGTCAGTAGATACCAGTTCCTGAAGCCTCACTCGTGAATTTTCCGTAACTTTGCAAAGCTGAAAACCAGCTAACTCGGAAACCATGCAAACCACGGTATAGTGACTAAATCAAGGAGAACCTGATCTGGTTCCCAGCACCCTCGATGAAATACTCTCATGTATTTTTGGTCCAAAAATTCAAAAACTGCTTAGAACTATCACCAAAATTTTCGGTCACATTCAGAACGCTAATGTTGTGGATCCTCCAAACTGTCCAGAAGCTGATGGAATTCGCAGGAACGGATTAACTCCTGAGGTAATGAACTTTATTTTTCTAATGTTACTCACCAGTTCGACGGCTCCTGGGCCCGCACTTATTCAGTACTTTTGACTTAAATTTGCCAGCTTATTCTTAATTTTAAATTTTCTTATTATTTCCAATTTTTTGCTTATTTAGGAGCAATTTCAGAGTCTATGCTGATTGCTTAGGTTTCTCATCATTTCGTGTAAATTTTTCTGCTCATTTCTTATTAGTTAAAGCTTAATATTCTCTCATATTTTAATTTCTTTAGCTTTAAAAAAATCAGTATTTTAACCCTTTTTAAAATCTTAGGAAAAAATTATTATTATCATTCGTATATATTCATTTACATTCAATGAAGTGCTTTTTGTACTTTCCGCCCATGATTCGAAAGTACTGACGTGTTCTATAAGGGTTTAGGTCTCTGAACCCAGGTACCCTGGTGTAAGCACCAATCTATCACCTGGGCTTTATTTCTCCAGTAACATGTACGTCACCATGTACGAGTGTGGCGACGATGTGGAGAAAGGTCCAGTCCGGCAGCTATTGTGAAACCTCCCACCGTGCTACAACGCGGCATCATAGTTTGGGGCATAATTGCGTACGAATCCAGTCACCTTTAGTTCGTATTCAGGATACTGACGCTCCAACAATACGTTGATGATGTGCTGTGGTCAGTGACAGTCGCCTTACCTTCAGCGAGTGCCAATGCTATTTATCAGCAGGATAACACCCGACCACACACTGCTCACATCAGCCAATGTGCTCTGCAAGGTGTACAGATGCTTCCCTGGCCACTGTTCTCTCTTGATCTCTTATCAATCGAACACATTTGGGATGTGATTGGATGCCATTTGCTGTCCCTGCCATTGCTGTGTTCGGAAGACGAACCGTGATAAATGGTTGACAGGGAATGGAGAGATATCTGTAGTGTCAATGACTCTGTATCTAGATGTGTTGCGTCATGTATCATCGTCCAAGGTGGTCCTATAAGCCGACGCTGTTCTCGCTCGGTATTATGCATATCATTTCGGAAAAAAAGGATCACTTTTTGTTCATTGCTGTCTCTGTTTGCTGAGTTTCATCACTTTCTGGCCACTTCTTGGTGTTGCATTTTCAGTGTCGCATAATGAATATACTGCTAGTCCGTAGTTTTCATGGTCTATTCTACCACAACTAAAGGTTCCACAGCCGCCTATCAGAATGTCCCTGAAACCATAATACTCCCACCACCAGCCTATATATGACCTGCTGTACAGGCGGGGGAGCAACTGTTCGCCTGGAAGATGGCATACCTTGACATGACCATCCACATGATGAATGAAACATCGTGATTCAGCTGACCAGGCATTTCTTCCACTTATCCATGGTGCAATTTCGATGCTTCTGGATGCACTATAGGCTTAGTTGGCTTGGTCAATAAACACACGAGTGGTTTGGCGTTGGAGCAAAAGCATAATTTGCCTTGCTTAAATAAAGACCGGGACTAATCTAAAAAAAAACTAATATTTATTTCATAATTTAAATAAGCTAGGCTGCAACAGTAGCCTTTACATTAAAAACCACCGAGAAAAGAAAACCAGCGAATCTTATCACGTTCACCATTTCGGTGTATATAACACAACATCGAACAATCAGCAACAACCAAGTTCGTTTATCGCAGATTGAGTTCTGATCTAATTTGCATGAGGAAAACAACAACAAAAAATTAGGTGAACAGCGGCTCTCTTTTCCTTATGCAAAATAATAAAAAAACTTACATAGAATTTAAAAAATTCGTACTTCGTTTCTATAATATGGACACAATACTTATTGCTCTTAAATACTGTAAACAGTTGAACAAAACTTTTTAAAGTCCACAGCAGTTGCAGTTTTCGTAAATAATTCCGCATTATTTAGTTTGGTGGAGATGAATTTGGTGTCAAACACCCCATCATTCACCAGTCTTTTGATAAAGTGACATCGTACGTCAATGCACTTAGTCCAACGGTTTTGTATTGGATGTTTAGAAAAATCAGTGGCAGATTTGTTATTGTAAAATAGTTTACATTCTTTCATATATGGAAAGTTATGATGTACAGAGAAAACAACATTACAAGCTACGAAAAACAGACGGCCTCTGGGGGGTATTTTCGCGGACAGGAGGGGACGCCGAAAGGATTAAAGTACCTTGGGCCAAGAACACTATCCTGAGGTACTCCACTGTAGATTACTTTTCTGGAAGACAGAGTGTCACCACATCTGACCTGAAATACTGTAGTTAAGAAACACTGTTCTAAAGAAATTGAAAAGTGATGTTGCCGCTTGTCTTCGCTTCACTCTGTAAAAGGTAATAAATATTTTATTGGTTGTATAATGTTAAATAAATTAAGTTTTCATGTGCTCTGCATCACTGAATGAATAATACTATAACAGGTTATGGATCCAGTATAACTTTATCTGCGTTTTGAGAAATTTTATTGCTAATAAGCCTAACCGTGTGAATTCCTCAGAAGTGAAAACGAGTTTCATTGCAATCATAGAAGTATTGACTACAGAAAAACTTTTAGGATCACAAAATTGGGTGCGATGGAAGTGGATGGTTGAAGGTTTACTTATGGAAAAGGAAGGAACTTTCGAAGTGTGTTGTGGGGAAATAATCAAATCAGAGGCAATTGCCGAAGGTGCTCCCCTTGAAGCCCGGAATAAGTACAATCGAGAATTAACCAAGTTTGATAAGGTTACGAGAGCTGCTCATAGAATTTTTTCACGGACATTAGACTCAACAATTTGTGATTTAGTTTCCATGTGCAAAACAGCAAGAGAAATATGGGTGGAGCTGGCCATGAATTATTTAAACAAAAAAATAAGCAAGCCGAGTTGCAGTTTTCATCACTTGTGCGTTATCCTACAGATTCAATAACCACGCATATAGCAGTATTAGCCTGGTATCACGAATGCACAATTTAGAAATTAAACCAAAGGACTTTTTTACTATGAGCAAACTATTAGAAACTAATGAATTTGAGCCACTAAAAATGGCTTGGAGTGCAAGGCCAGAAGAACAGCAAACAGTGCCAGAATTGAAGGGACTGCTAATTTCAAAAGAGCAGAGAAGGATGTCAGAGCCATCTAGGGACAGTAAACTTCTTTCTTTAGATGGCGAAAGATACTGTTGGAAAAACTCCAAGCGCGCAAACATTTTCAAGAATAAATGGGCCCGTTAATAAACAGAGAAAACAGTGTAAATGTTTAAAATGTGGCAAAAAGGGGTCGCTTTAAAAGGGACTGTAAATCCCAGAAAAATAATTACATGACAGTCAATCTTGATGAAAAGTCCAATTATGGGAAAGCCTTTATTAGTGAGTGTCTCATTGCGACTAATAACAATGCATGGGTAATCGACACTGGTGCTACTCAGCATATTAAAAACAAAATCGACTGGTTTCAATCATATACAAAATTTGAGTGTTCATTTGATGTAAGAGTTGGTAATAATGCAACAATGAAAGCTTATGACATGGTGCCATATCACTTAAAATGTTAGTACATAGTTAATGGAGAAACAGCTTCATGGAAAATGTACTATATGACCCTGATGCTGCAAAGAATTTATTTGTTGTAAGCCAGATGCTAGATCATGGATGCGAGTTTAATATGTCAAATGCAAAAAATGTGAATTTTTGAAATCCAAAAATGTTAATGCTGTTGGAATTCGCTGTGGTAACTTATTGTCTGCTAAAGTTAAGTGTAGTGCTGTGTGTCCCCCTGAAGCCCAGGTAAGTGAAGCAAATTCTCTTCAACTCTGGCATGAAAGGCTGGGACACGTTGACGCGGTCTTACCCACCGGTGGGTCATACTTGTCTGTTGCGCTGGCCGACATGACTCACGGATGGGTCACGTTTGTATATCAAAAAGTACGTAGTACAGAATTTTATTTTTAATTATTCAACAGCATACATTAACATTTCAACATTATAATCAACATTCAATACAAAACAAATAACTTAAAATGTAACTTATAAATTAAATATAATTATTAATTTTTTCTATGCAATTTTTTAAAGCAAGCTAAACAAAGTGCTGGCTTGCCTTTACAATTATCGCAATATGTTGTTATTTTCTGTGCTCTATTCGTGGCGTACTGAGTACCTTTTACGCTTGCTAAGCGTTTATAGCATTCTTTGCATCGCTTTCTCTCTGATCTTTCGTACGAATTAAAAAATATGTTTTTTTTTTTTTTTTTTTTGTTATTATTTGTTATTCACTAGGGGGATTCACGAAACAGACCGCTAATTCAAGCGCCGCCGCACAAAAAGAACAATGAATATTCGCCCCGCCCTCAACATGTTAAATAAACATCATGTTAAAAAGGGTATTACAGTCCCATGGCATTGAAATATAATTGTATACTGATTTTCGTAAGGTCTGTATAGCAGAAAAACGGCATAGATTGCCATTCCAAGTCGTCAACAACGTGGTAAAAAGGTTGGTAAACTCATTCATACTGATCTTTGTGGGTCTGTGGAACAAGAATCCATAGGTGGTTCTCGCTATTATAAATACTTTAGAGATGATTTCTCTAAGTACACAAAAGTTTATTTTCTTAAGCATAAGTCAGAAACTGTAGTTAAGTTTGAAGAACTTTGTACATTTTATCAAAATCAAACAGAAAAGCCAATCAAGGCAGTTTTAAGTGATCGTGGATTAGAGTATATAAACAAGAACTTTAAGAATGGGAGCAGAGCTTCGAAGCAGCACTCCCTGTACCCCCAGCAAAAATGAAACGGCTGAAAGAACAAATAGAACACTTGCTGATTTAGCTTGAACAATAATGATTGCTAAATCTTTGCCAAAGTCATTGTGGGCTAAGTTGGTTAATACTAACGTTTATTTTTTTTTAAACTCTACTATCACTTCTTATTTTCTACTTCCGGCCAGAATTAAATGCTTTAACTTGTTTATGCAAATTGTCTTGCTAACGCCCAAGTATTTAAGTTGTGGCTTCTTGCCAAGAGTTGGAAAGAGAGAAGGAGATTTAGGAAGCAAGCCACTTGCCACTGCAGTTTTACGAGTTTTCACGCGGTTGCTATTTGCCTTTAAGGCCAGAGGTTTAGCCTTCTTGATATTTGAAAACGTATTGTAGTTTCAGCAGCTCGGCGTACTACATACGTACCCTTTTAAATAAAGGCCAGTCTTAATGCTAAGCATTTGTATACTAATCAAAGTTAGCTTTTTTAGTTAGAGTTTTAGTTAGTAGTTTATATTCTTACGTTCAGACCACAAGTGTTGGTCTCTGTATCCCGAAGTTCGGGAGTACCTGTAAAGTGCATATTCACAAAGCCTACAGACCATTTCTCTAAGGTCTGCTTTCATTGGATGAAACATCCGCTTGGCGATCATATTTGCAATGGCGAGTTATCGCCCTGTAGGCATGGTAATTAACGCCAAAAAACGGAAACAGCGTTTATTTTATTCGATATTTTTTTAGTTTATGAATGAAAGCTTCGAGGAATTGTGTGGAATATATTTTATATAACTTACTGATCTTATTAATAGTTTATTTGTATTTTAATTAAACTTTTAAAAGTACATAATTGTTTTACAAGAAAAAGGTGTTTACATGGAGATAGCATATGCACTTTTTCTTCATTTCTATTAGAAAGAGCCTGTTGTGTATATTTCCATAGCGCATTCATTTATACAAATAAAGGAATATTGAAAAATAAACCACATGAAAACATTCAGTAAACATTTAAGGACGTCGGATACCTATTCTTTTTACCTAAATTATGAAAAGTAAGTATAACTAAAATTATATTTTATTCCATTATGCGCTTTTTCTATTGAAACGCTTTTCGGGATCTTGGATCGTAATCTTGCTACTGGTACCTACTAAAAGAGTACAAACCAGTAAATAAAAATAAGAAAAATTAACAAAAATAGAGAAAATAAAGACATGTAATTTTTAACACCGCACCCAAACAAATAATGACGAAGTCATTCGATAAAGTTAAAATAAAAATAAATCCGCGTAGAGCAGAGTTTATGATAGCTACGAGCGGGAATAGAACCGGCGATCAAGAAGTCTGAGACTATTTTCGCGCTCGTTACCTCTGAGCTGTGGTTTCTCCGGTGAGTTATGCACAATTTTTGGTACACCACGCTTAAATACAAATTCTAAAGGCGATGAACCAAAAGTCGCCAAGCACTAGGTTCTGTAACCCTACGTTTCCTGTTTTAACCAATCGGAGCAAACAGCAGTAGAAACGGTCTGTAAGCTTTGTGAATAAGCCAGTAAAGTATAGAAAATAAAGGGTTTCGTATAACTTTCCTGCTTGTGTCGTCTATTCCACACAATCTGGAACAGAACTTTAGTAAGTTACTGTTCTTATTCAGGACACAGTATGTTTTCGAAACAATCGAGAAGACATACATCTCCTGACAGTGGCGCCCGAAGAAGAATAACCATGGCTGAGTTTCAAGAAGCTGAGGTGCTTGCAGCAGCGGCTCAGAACCCAGAAATGCTAGCTGCCACCCTGGAAGGATTTCGTTACATTGTCCAGACCATGCGCGCATCGATGAAACCAGCAGCAAGATTTGACGGAAACTCACCGGTGACCAATTTTTTGGAAAAATTGGATGACCACTTCATGCTACATCCAGTCCATGAGTTCCAGAAAGTCAGCTACCAGCGTTTTGAGGGGCCACGCGCTTAAATGGTTCAAATGTATCGAAAGAACCTCTTGGGTCATGTGGGAAGTACCACTTACACTTACGAAAATTTCAAGACCGCCTTAGTAAAAGCCTTCCCTGTCGTAAGAAATCGTGCCAAATTGGAGACGGAACTCTTCAGCACATACCAGCAATGAATCGAAAATCTCTCAAGCTTTATTTTAAGAAAAATACACGTCTTTAAACTTTTGTATGGAAGCCGGCCGAATCCTGAAATAATCCAAGTAATTTTGCCTAGGTTACTACCCAAGTGCAAGACTGTTGAATTAAGGAATCCAACGACATTGGAAAAATTATTTGAGCTCGCAATCCAGTTTGAAAGTAGAAGAACGGCGGACATGAAAGAAGACGTCAGCACGAGCAACGAAGCCAATTTGGTGCGCCAAGACCACAGCAGAGGCAAGAGCACAGCTACGGAAGCAAGTCGAATCAGTGGTCAAAGAAACCCGAGTATCCAAAAACAACCGATGAACGAAACGTCGACAGTTCAATAATAAGCCAGAGAAAAGTTTGAAGGCCAGCGGAAAAAGAAGGAAGGCCCGGAAAAGAAGAAAGAAGATTTAAACTAAAACGGATTTCTGCTGACGGGAGGGTGCGGAAGTCCGAGAGCCAAGAAAATCCCTCTTCCTTCAAGCTCAATACAGTGATTGTGAAAAATTTGATTCTTC